TAATATATAAGTAAGAAACGAAAAAAATATAGGAAATGTTTTAAGAGAAGTTAAACAGCCACATAGTTATCATCATCATCATCACTATCCTCAGCGTTAATGCTTAAACTTCCTTTTCCTGAAGACAAGCTATTCAAATCTTTCTTGTTTCTAGGCTTTGTAAGCGAAAAAATAGTGGTGGGAGACAATTAAGACAGCTGCAGAGAAAGAAAGAAAGAAATGTTGTATACGTCTAAATGAATTTTTTAAAAACTTAATTTAAAAATATTTTCTAAGATTTTATTGTTGCAGATTGCTGAAAATAAAGAGAATAAAAAAAGAATAATCAAATGTTTAAGCTGTAAAGTGAAACATAAGCAAGTGACACTCTTTCTTTGGATATATACATTTATGTACATATATAGAATACATGAATACAAAAAATCTCTCCATACCGTTTTAGAAAGTCTAATATGCGTTATGATATTAGTCTAGAGAGAAATAGATTGTAAAAGCTTATACTTAAGTGACTGATAAAATCACACTAGGAATTATAATTAACATGTCATAGGAATTTAGTAGAAAATAAATGTAGACAGATAGGTATATCTCAATGCCTATGTAAAATGAATAGTTGAAGCATCAGTTAAAAGACATCCTGTGTAAAACGAATGCACTATGAAAGACAGACTACTTGTTTGTTTCTTAGACATTGGTGCTTGTTTCTTGTAGATACTAGACAACTGAGTACGATTCATATATAAAAGAGAATTCACTATTTTCACTGGGTCTTACCACCTTGTTAATGAATGGTAAGGATTATTATCATTGTTTCCTTTAATTCCTAGAGGAACATAGGTCTTCAGCCGTGCGTCTCCATTGCGTTCGGTTCTCTGCTAGAGTCTCCACCTGGCTCCAAGTCTGCCCACACGCTTTCATCTCCTCTTCACATGACCTCCTCCAATCACCTTCGCACTGACGACCAACTCGCCGCTTCCCTTTCGGGTTCCACTCGAGTAATGGCTTGTCTAGTGATGTCACTTGATGGTTTCCTCAGAGTATGGCCAATCCATCTCCATTTCTTCCTGCCTATTTGTTTCACAATCGGTTCCTGCTGGGTTGGTTCGCTCATTGCCAGAGATCTCTGTTGCTGATCTTTTCTGGCCATCTGATAAAACACTGTTAATGAAGGTCTGTAGTTTGTTTGAGATGCTCTTTATGACGCGTCAAGTTCTGATCTGTATAGTAGCACTGACTTCACATTGGATTGAAATCCGGATCTTTTTATTTGCTCAAATAAAAGCTTGTCTTGCTTTGATTCTTGCTTTGATATCCTCGTCAGTTCCGCCTGTAGTTGAAACGATGCTTCCCAGGTGGGTAAAAGAGGTTGTTTCTTCAGGTCCTCCCATTTATGCTGATCGTTGTCTGTTGTTTTGTTCTTGTCCAAGAATCTTCATTACCTCTGTTTTCTCTATGTTCACCTGAAGTCCTATCTTTGATGCTTCTTCTATCGCCAACTTGTTGCTTTTCACTTGCATATCTTCCAGTTTGTGGGAAATCAGACATATATCATCGGCGAAGTCCAGATCCTCCAAGTATTTTGTGTGAGTCCATTTTATGCCTGGATCCTCATTGCCCACTGTTTGTCGCATTATCCAATCTACTGTAATCAGGAAAATCATTGGCGATAGTAGGCAGTCTTGTCTTACTCCTGTCCTCACTTCGAAGGATCCGTAAGTTTCTCGTTGTGGATTACTTGGCATGCAGCATTGTCGTACAGCTGTTGGATGAGATGTATAATTGTCGGTGGCACACCGTAGTAGCATAGTGAGACATATCTTGAAACTTGTGTGATGAAACTTCAGGATAGCGAACTTTAGGGCCATCCAATAAGGGTCCCAGTGGGTGAGTGCTGTATGAACTTACCTTGTAACCGAAAGGTTCTGGGTTCGAACCCTGGCTGGCAGTGGGTGCGTACTGCCGATGAGTCCCAAACTAGGACGAAGGAAACAGATGTCCAGTACTCTCTGAAACTGTAAAATGTCGCTGTGTGTCTGCTAGTTTTAATGAATTAATGAATCAGATTCGTTTCTATCTAAGTTTAAAAATAATCCTATTATGCTCTGTAAATAAATGTTCAGTATATCATTCGTTATGGATTATGTAGGAAGAATTGGTATTTTACAATAATTCACGTGTGACATATATCGTGATCAAAGTGAGTCTAGAATCTAAATAAAACGCTTTCTGACTGCGATATACTTACATTTTTTTTCTGACTTGAATGTGACAAATTTTCAAGTAAGAGAATGAAATCTAAAAAACAACCCTCCAGCTTAATTGGAAGACTATTCTTCTTGTTAAAGATGATAAAATAACAATGGAGTCCATGTGGGAGGAACTCATAGTCATAGTGGAATGCAGAAAAACATTCAGAAGTCAAGCTATAAGTCCTTATCCACTGTGAAGAAATCGTTTTGTATTTTCTAATCAGTGTTTTGTGTTAACGAAGGAAATTAATTTCGATATCGATTTCGATACAGTCTTCAAATGAAAATACGAATTGTTCTGAAGACATAAATATTTAATTGGGGGCTATATTTATTATTAAAGCCAGATTCAGGAAAAGCAAATCGTGTGCGGATTAAATTGTAACGCTACGTATCATCACTTGACAGAGAACAGAAAAGCAGTTAAATCTCTGCCTTAACTTCATCGAATTTGAAGAGGCCTTCGACAGTGTCAACTGTGAAATGATTTGGAAACTAATTCAAAACTATGGGGTGCCCCGAAATATTTTTCAGCCTCAATAAACAGCTACATGACGATGCTATTTGTCAAGTGATCCACAGTGGAAAACTCGGTGAAGAGTTTGTAATGAAGACAGGAGTAAAACGAAGCTATCTACCATCGCCGATAATATTTCTAGTTGTGGTGGACTGGATAATGTGGCAAGCAACAGGGAGCTCGGTGCGTGATGAAGTAAGTTTGTCTCACAAAAGTGCTCTACGAATAGAATCAAAAGCAGTATTGTAGGCAGATCGAACAAATTTCGAACCTTTATCCAGATCAGAAACAGTATTATGGTGCAGTAAAGTGGTAGGATCTAGGGTACTTCTGCTGTGTTAATGCGCGAGTTGCTTGGTGTCACTGGAAGATTTTAATCAGGGTTTGGGAACAAGTAAGACAAATTTATCCGTAGTTTTCAAAATGGAGACGTTACTGAGGTTGACCTAGACTTTAAACTTGATTCAGAAGATGATAATTTTAGTACAGGTACAATCTTAAATTGTCTCCAAGCAAAAGGTATCTCTGTGAAGTGATGCATCAAAGATTTGTGTGGCACAAAATGTTTGCACACTTTTGAAACAGAATGACTGATATACCATCAGGGCCTAGGCTCTGTGACAGACTTAGGGTTCTTCTTCATCAAAACCTGAAAAACAACTATTGATGCATCTTAGGACATCGTGCAGAAGTATATTAGCTTGCTTCTTTAGAAAATATCGATTTCAGTTATGTAGGTCAGAACAAGTAACAAGGGAAATTTAGTGTTTTTTAGTAAGTTGATTAGGTAGTTTCCGGATGTTGTAATATTTTTCATGATAAAAAAGTTTTCATCATATATTGCATTTAGTCTTTGTATTTCAGACTTTATTAAAGAGTTATTTCTTGTAACACCAGCATTATAATGCGACTTATACAGATTCTGTTTTTCTCGTTCAAGCTTTTTCAGTTGCGGAGAAGACAGCTTATCAAACCTCGTAAACAGTGTTTCAGTAGGACAGCAAATGTCCAAGCAGAAGTTGAGACAGCTGGTGACATTGGAGTCAGTAAAATCCAACACTTCATCGATCAATAAGTCCCAGTCTGTATGCTACAGAATACATTTAAGTGTAAGAACATTGTCATGTCGGTAAGATCGTTCTTGAACCTTCTTTGTAAGATGAATAGAAGCCCTTTTGCCTAATTTCAAAAGGCGACGATTTTAAACAACATGCCTAGAAGACATTATTGATTGATTAAAAAAAGAGCTGACGAAGCAAGTCAAAGTAATATTTGATTTGATGAAATATGGTATTTTGGCAGCCGGAACTTCAAGCAGGACACCTATTATGCTCTGATGACAGGCCAAGTGTGCTTCAGTAATCTTTGTAGTGTAAATCTACCTAGAAGAAGGATTTCAAATACTTTCCGTAGCACCGTCAACGAGGATTTCTTGGCATAGGCTTGAATTAATTGTTAACTTTAGAGCAAGTTATTTGAATGAACAGTGTTGTTCATGTCTACATTTTAATAAGGGCTTACTACAGTATACGTGGTTTCTATAAATGATGCAAATTTTTAAATCAGTAATACGTTTTGTAAGCCAAGCTGTTAGTGGCACTATTTTTTAGCTATTTAGCACCTACTCGAGTGTTCTATTCTGTAAAACATGTTAAACTTTCTTCATTTGATCATGTCTTCTGTTTTTCTTTATCTGTTACTTGGTTGAAAGAAGTTCATAAGGACAACAGTACAGTTGTCAAATATCCAGATCGCTGAGATCCTGGACCTACCACTGGTTTCAGAAGATTAAGCTTAATACGTAGAACACTATGCACTGTAATCGACGCAGAACAACAGAAAACGGTTGGGCAACACGATTATTTATTCTTCAAGCAATAACGAAACAGATTTACAATGGTTAATCAGTGCCAAACTCTATAAATAAACGTCAATATAATATACAACAATACTTCTGATCGTATTTCTCCAATCTTCTGCCAACCAGTACACGATTTAGCAATGACAACCTTCTTGTCACCCGCCAATGGAGACCAGTTCGAATAAACAAGCTATTCAATGTTCACCAACATTGACAACAGTGGTATAACCTAATGATATTATCCTGGAAAAACTGTTTTTAAATTACTTCATGTTTATATACATATTATCTATACCAAATTAGATCATCATAACTTAAAACAAGGATAAAAGTTCTGTCTTTTATTAGATTATTTTTATTTACATTATGTCAATTAAAATAAGTATTAAATACAAGACAAAAAACACACATTTAGGATAACTGTAAACTGCAGCGTGTTTTAAGTTTCTGTCAAGTTTGTAAATTTCTGACCATAAAAAATGCACAAACATTTTGAAGATTACAGATGGTTAATCGTACAGCCCTTGGATATTATTTTTAAAATTTGAAATGAAATCAGGAGATTTATTTTTTATACAAAACTAGATTCTCTTAAAGCAGCTGACATATATTTTCCAGATTCCTTCAGTTCTTTTTGTTTTCCTCGATTTGAACTATGACTTTCATTGGTAAATTTATCCTTATTGTTAACATGACTTTCACTGGTAGTGTGTGCTTCTTCTGCATTAGCTGTTGTAGACACAGAGTTATTTAAAGCAACAGGAGTGAGGTTGGCAGTAAAACTACTGTTATTGTGATTTTGAAAATTATGTTCTGATGGTGTTATCCAGTTTTCAGATGCTGTTGCATTATTATTATTATTAGATGTGCATTTCTGCATTTCATTCCAAGATCCTGGAAATTCTGTTAATAAAACAGAATTCTTATTATTATTGACATCATTAGTATCACTGGTAATTCCAGGGGTTTTAATCTCATCCCAGTTGGCTGAAGTTTCCATTAGACTATTCTTCTCATTGATATCATTACTAAGTACGTGATGTTTAGTATTAATGGATAATTGCTGAGATTTTGATTTAGTCATGGCAGATTTATTACGTTTAATGTCAGGTTGTCTAATATCATAATATGTGTGTGATTGACTTGGATATTTAGGATAATTCCAATTGTTTAAATTGATAATACTTGTAGCCATCACCTGATAAGGTAGTAGCATATTACCAACTTTATTATGATTAGTATTATTAAAGTTATAAGTATTTACATTATTGGGATATTGATTATAAGCTGGAACAAATGTTGAATTAACATCTTGTACTATTTGGCTACTATTTGAAAATGTTGGCAGTGTTTTATATCCCCCGTTCATTGATTGTGGTTGTGACTGTGAATGAAAATGCGCTATCTGATATGATGAATCGTCTAGATTAGGATTGTAATTGATTGGTGTAAATGACTGTTTCTTTTCATTTTGTACTACTGCGTCGTGAGGATTGAATACAGTCAGTTCACCTGATGTAATCGGTACCAGTCGTGGCATATTCATAACACGTGGACTGTATGTTACTAAACCGAGATTTTTATGGTTTACGGTTGGTTGCTTGTTTAAAAATGTTGAACTGACCAGACCCAAATAATCCAGAGTTTGATAATCATCTAAAATGTGTTAATGAGAAAAAATATTTCTTTCAGCAAATACATCCATAACAATAAAGTGTATACATAATTTCGTCTGTTTAGCTTCAGAAAATTCAATCAGAATAAATAGTTTGTAAAACGAAACAACGAAGAATCACAATATTTAACAGCTATTTTATACGAATTTTTAAGCATTCTAAATTTTAAAAAATATATTTCTCATATTAAGCTATGCATAGGGAAGATGAGTTCTGATGAATAGTTAATATCAAATAGATTGTAAACCTCAATTCTCGTTCAGTGACAGTGCCATGGCTTTGTGTTTACTCTCCTCTAAATTTGTTCACTTAAGATGTCTGCAGTGTATTAGCAGTTAAGTGTTCTTCTAATTATTAATTATAACCCGGAATATCTAGTAAGGTATGATACATTTTTTCCCCTTCACTTTCCCCAGTGGAACATAGGGATTCAAGCTACAGGCTTGAAGTTTCTGTAGCACTGTTTATTTTACAGGATGGGGTTGCTAGCCTCATGCCCAACCTTTCCTCTTCACCAGCAGTATTTCTGGCTTAGCGAGGTAAAGGAGTGCGCTGGCCGGGGATCGAACGCCGGACCATGCGCATGGTTGGCGAGCGTCCTAACCGCTATGCCACCGACTCATTGGAAATATAAATTTTTATCCTACCCTGAAATTGTAGTACACTTTATCTACATAAGGTTTAAACATAACCATGAAATAAAGTAGTTGGTGACAGCACTCAAACAACTATTTTACGAAAAGATTGAGAAGAACAGTGACATAACTGAAAAGAATAGTGACATGGAAAACAAGACTGGAATCAAAGGGAAGTAGTGACGGTAGAAGACGAGATAACTGGAATTTGGTATCGCTATATAGCGAAATTATGTACACCTTATCTTCAACGCACAATTTGCACAGATCTTCCGTGTTGTCCTACTTCTCGCCTTCCTTTTTATTGTCTTTCTTTGTCTTCCTTTCACGTCTCCCATGTATCTCCACAACGCTGAATCATTTACTTTCTCTGACTTGATCAAATCTATCTCCTTGCTGTCTGATGTTTTTCTACCGATGAACGTCTCTTTATATACCACTGATAAATGTTATCAGTAGCTCACGCCACAAAGTTTAGGACATTGTAGATATGAAACTTAAAGCGAAACAGCTGAATAATAGACAACATTGTATTATGAAAACATGGAACTCTAATCTGGAAAAGAATAAATTTTTCAGATATTTTACTGGTGTGATTGGCATTACCTAAGGTTACAAGCTCATCAGGGTTCAACATTCTTAATTCTAAATTCATACAGAAATTTGTGTAAAAATGAACTACTATTTCTGAATTGTGTATACACATTATGGCTAATGACAAGCTGATGACTGTTTGACTGACTCTCTGGACTACATTAGAAATTATATCATATTGTCTTCACCATGTAATCAGTATACATTTCTCCGGAGTTCGTGGTAGAAAAAAGTGGATTCAATTCTTATTAGAACGACTGATAGTAATTTTCATATTTTTGACTGGACACTAGTCAGTAACTAGTGTAATGTGTATGTCTAGTCCTATCTTTCGTGCAGACTGAATTCTATCACTTTGATAGAATAGCTCAGTGGTAACGTCTCTGACTGCAGCACTGGGTGACATGAGTGCGAATCTCAGAAGGGACATGAGTTCCTTCGAGGTTGCAGATACGCCTTGCAGACTGGTGAGTGCCAACTAGCACGAAACCTAGTTCAGGCAAGGCTTCCTGCCAATTGCCTCCAACCAGTCGTGAAACTGTCATTTCAACTTCATTGATCACGAAAGACAAAAGTGAGTTAAACTGAAATCCTAATAAATGCATCATTATAAAATATTCCGTAATTATTTTAGAAATTATTCACATTTGTTTCAAAAAATTCGAGGATAGGGTTTATACTATCAGTTTAGTTGAGGGTTGTTTATTTGTATAGGTCTATAAGGTTGATTCATTCATATCTGAATAAATGACTGTAAATATCCATCTGCATTGATAATATGAGAATTACAACCACAGATCAATCACTGTCAAATTGGTCAAAATTTCAGTCATAATTCCTACCACTTCCGAAATGTCTTTTAAAACCATCCCGTTTTTCCTCTTCTTTTTCTTCTTCTTCAGTGGACCATATGACTTAGAATTAGTTGTGTTCTCTGAGCTGGTTGGTTTAATTGTGAAGCTTTCGTCGTCCTTCTGGACGACATCCCCCTTCAGCGCAAGTTTTAGCATAAAATGAACTGATTTAAATTCCCCATGAATGATAGAATTGTGTCTCCTGGCAACCATCTTCGTGACCGGTAGTTGATTTACATATGTATTGATCATTTTTTATTGACTTGGAATTTGAACTTTCTTGTCACTTGATTTCCTTTTTATTAGTTGGTAAATTTGGTCTATATTAATATGTTTGTTAATCGCTGATTCACTTGAGTACTAGGCTTCTAGGAATTCTCTGGTTGCCAGGAGACACAATTCTATCATTTATGGTGAATTCAAATGAGTTCATTTTATGCTAAAACTTGCGCTGAAGGGGGATGTTGTCCAGAAGGACGACGTAAGCTTCGCAATTAAACTAACCAGCTCAGAGAACATAACTAATTCCAAATCATCCACCTGAGCTACAAATCTTCTCTATTGTTTCAGGACTATATGAGTGGTAATAGGCCTTTTATACTGACTTGTGTTCAGAGGAATCAGAAGTTAAGAAGTGCAAAAACTGATTATACTGTACGTAAAAATCATCACTTTTGCTTTAATGTAATAAATTTAAAAAAAATTTGGAAGTAGTCTGTAACAACTTAAATGCTCAATCAAAGACAGTGCGACTTTAAATCGCCTAGATTTATATGAGCAAAGAAAGAACAAACATTGATGCAGAATAACATAGATCCATTTTATTTCACTGGTTCTCATCAGCTGCATACAACCTATAATCTTTGATAAATAAAAGTCAGCTTAAAATTTAACATACTATTGTCATCAACAAGCATATTATAAGAGTGTCGTGGTGAGGTAAAACATCAGGATAACAAAGTAGCTGAGGTGTGAGCATCTATATGTATATATCTTGTAAGAGAGAAGTTTCTAGGAAAATTAGTTGACAAGTTTGTTGTTAGGGTGGTAACAAAAATGAGTAACAATAACATAGTTATATAAGCGAAGATCAAAATTTAGTGTGCAAAAGGTCAGATGAAAAGGTAATGATGTAATATGGTGAGTAGAGCTCATAAGGCCAAGAAAAAGGATCTCTTACGGAAATCAAACAGAAAAAATTAGGTGACGGGTGACGGGCATTGAAAAGATAAGTTGATGAAGTAAGAATACCGAGAGTTACTAAGGGATGAGTCTCCAACGACACATTTCTTTAGGACGCATAAGTCAGGTTTCAGCCATATTTATTGCGATAGCCTCAGCAAATCGAAGAAGACTTGATCTATTTTGTTTGTTAATTATTTTGAATGATGTCAGCACGTCTACTCGGTGTCCAGCGTATGTCAAGTGTTTGGTAATTGAAGAGATTAAACTACTTGGCCCCCTTTTAACCGGAGGCTCATTGGTACATGTTCGAAGAATCTAATGTAGGCCCTCCCTTCTGTTCTTCCGATGTAATTGCTGGCGCAGATACATGTGATTATATGATTTATGACTACCTTTGGAAATAGGCCGAAGATGAAACTTCTCTCAAGCGATGTATAAATGTGATTTTATTACCAAAGTGAATTTACATGTTATATTGTTCTAAAACCTGCTGTGTTGTATATATATATATATAATGCCAACGAATACACAACATTATCACAATTTTTTCCCATTGTCTCTCCTAATATGACAAGAGAAAGGAAAGAAAATGTCCCTCCTTGTTCTTTTTCTATTGTATTAATTTGACAAGTAACATTATGATTTGTACAACATGAGACATGTGAATGCGTAGAACTTATTCGATGACTGAAATATTTTGTATTTTGAGTATGTTTTTATATACATATGCATGAGTATTGACATGTGGATAAGTGGGTAAGCAGTCTAGTAGGTTGACATATATATATATATCGACAGAGAGAGACAGCATACATTAGAGCAGTACTTAAGATATGGCTGATTTTGATGATTTAATGTGTGTATTTATCCTTAGAAAGAACTTAATAATAATCTAGAGTACAGATTAAAGATGATGGGCAAGTTAGCTGCTATAGTAAACGTATGATTATGTATGCATATATATACATAGATATATGCTCTTACAAATAAATATGCATATGATCACAATCTGTGATAACTGAGAATGAAACATGATTATCAAAATTAGTTGTTACTATAAGAGTTGAAAAACAAACAGACAAACACAGATTTCTATCTTGATGAGTTTTCGAGGAAATCAACTTTATCTAGTGTAAATCAAATTTTGCTTAAAGAAATTTAGTTTATGATGACTTATATATGTATATATATATATTTTTGCCTTATTCAAAGTATCATTTAAACAAACTTGAAAATATGAATGAAGATAGTATAGATTGAAATTTTCTAGCTTTAAATTCAACTGAAAACAGACAGATTTCAAAATGTAACTAGTTTTATTATCATCATCATCATCAAATGAGGAATGTTTCCTAGGATCAAACTTCATATCATCTGATGAATATATATATATATATATCGATTGGATAGTTTCAGTTAATAATGGAGAATGTCTTTCAAAAGAGTCCAACTTTACTTTCAAGCATCGACGTGACATACATGAACTAGTTAGTTCCCATGATGCCTGTAACATAGATGGAACTGAAATTGAAACCAAGTCAAGCATTAAATACCTTGGATTAGTTCTTTCCTCTGACCTTTCATGGTCATCCCATATCTTATCAATCTCTAAGAAAATGTTTCGTCTTACCTTCTACATTAAAAAGTTAAGACAATCAGGTATCAACCAACCTTTAATTCTGCAATTTTTAAACTCCTGTATTTTACCTATTGTACTCTATTGCTCTCCATTAATCTTTCCTGGGCTTCTCAAAAAAGACTATATCATATTACGAAGGGTATTAAATGCTGTGAGTAAGGCTTGCGGTTTTCCAATGCGTGAGCTCGCCAATACTGTAGTCGAGAGACACATAAATTCCTGTACAAAGTGGGCAAAGGCTGTACTGTCAGACCCCCTGCACCCCCTTTATTCACAACTATCCCCTTGTATCTCATCAGGTAGGACGAGAAGTCAATATAAGAAGTTATATGCTCGAACCACTAAGTACAAAAATTCTACAATACCGTATTTAGCCCGTATTTTATGTGATGAAGACTCTGTTAGATGTGAAACATATAAGTTACTATGTAATTAGCAAAGTGAATCGACCCTTTCATTGTTCATCTTTCTGTAATTTTATGGTGTCACCCTTTCTATCGTTTAATTATAACTTCGCTATTTTTATTTTAGTTGTTATTACTATTATTACTATAATTTTATATTTTATGCATGTTTTTCTCTGTATTGCATACAGTAATTTGCTAAATAGCTGCTATAACAACGTTTCGTTATTATTATTATTATGTAATGTTTATTTTTTAATTTGTTTTTTTCGTCGTTTTTGAGTAAATTAGATGCAATATTGTACTGAATGCTGAAAATTCCTTGCTGTATCATTAGTACTGTTTTTGGAATAAAGCAAAAATTATTATTATTAACTAACTTTGTTTGGAAATAGACTATTAACAAGTTAGTAGTGAATAAAAGTGTAAGAAAATTAAGTACAATTGTCTATCATCGATTAATTCTTGTTGTGGTTATTTTATTCTTTTGCGTCCCAAGTGGAGCACAGGACCTCAGGCTTCGGCTCTGTAGCGTCAGCAGCAGTGATATTTATTTCCAATAGGGTAAGGTCACACCCTAGTCTCACACCGGACATTCCCTCTTTTATGGAGCTTACTAAGCAAGGTTTAAGACTGCGTTGACCAGGAATCGAATCCTGGATCACCAGCGTGGTTGACGAATGTTCTACCAGTGAACCATCAACGCGTCCCTCAACGAAGTATATATATATACATTAAATAGTCAAAAGAAGTGGATAGGTTGTAATTACGTTCATCTTATTCAGCTCTCAGACATCATATCCGATGAGATAAATAATGGAGCCAAGACGAGATAACTATCTTCTCATTAATTCCACGACCAACATTAGAGTCAGTTCTGATGATGATAAATCTGTTGGAACCTTTTTAGTATTTAGGTATTATGCTTCAGTTGATAGAGAGCACACTAAGTGACGGTTTTATTCATCAAACATCTAATATCAAATTAGAGTGTTGCGAATATAACAGATTTGTTTTTGACCATTTTTACAGTCTGTAAAGTATATCGGTTACCGTCTACTAACAAGTCTGTAAATATAATTCAAGTCTCAATGGTAGTAATACGCAACTCAAATAATTTGATGGTAAAGTTTAAACTCCACAATAAGTGATACGTGTCGAAATTTCTGTGTGCCATAACTAACATCAAAGTTTGATATACACTTTCTCATGAGTACAAACAACAATACAATTTAGAGACACAGTATCTTCACAGACAACTCCTAAAGTCTAGTGGATACACAAATATATCCTTAAATGTTTCAGTGAGTAGCTAGAATGCTCTGTCCAGTATACCATTCAATATAGGGACATTTTTTCCATTCGTTGGAGGATTTTATCATCAGCTGACATTGGAGAACCTGCAGGGAGTACTGGACAGCCAGCTGTTCCCTCCGTCCTAGTTTGGGACCCTTCATCCGTACGCACCCACCGCCAGGTTTCGAACCCAGGACCTTCTGGTTACAAGGCTAGCAAGCTCGTAGACCATTAAACCACTGGGACCCGATCCAATGGCCAGCCCATGAATTCTAACTTCTGCCAATTCATTTTTTTCGCTACATTATATTTGTCTAATTAGAAAAGTATCAAGCTGAAAGATATTCAATCTGTCGATAGTCGCTTTTTCAAGGGAATGCTCTGGAAGGATGAGATGAACTCCTTATTAGTTTGTTTATTTGATATATCACACAGTGAAACAGTATTATTTACTGGATGACGTTTCGAAAAAAATTTATTGTTCATAATCATATCAATTGTAATCACACGACTTTGACACTTGAGTTTTATAGTTTTCTTTGTTCTCTCCTATTTGTCGTTTGGGTAGTAGAATTTTCCAGATATCGGGGACAGGTGATGAATCATTCCTATTACATGTATCTGCAGTTCATTCGATAAACAAAGCTTCTGTTATCAATCTCTCCCTATACCCTGTGACATCAGAGTTTAAAACTGTCATCTTATCACATCCATCTTATGGTATGGTTGTGTGTAATTGCATGTGTCCAGTGCTATAGCTCAACTATTCTATATATTTCTTATCCTCTTTGGATCAACCAATCTAGATTTTGCCAAGATTTTATGTTCAGCCAGTCTGACTGCCCCTGTTCTACTAGTTTGACCTATGTATTTGACCTGACAATCATTACAGGGTATTAGATAAACTAAATTGTTTTGTTTTAAAGGCTCCACTGGCAGGATCCTTTAACCGACAAAGCTTGTTTCTAATTGAGTTTGTGGGTTTGAATGCCAGCCATTTTTATTCCTGCCTTGTTAAGAATTCTGCGTAAGGCTTCCGAGGTTCCTTCCTTGTATGGAATTACTACTGATGATTTAGATTTCTTATTATTGGTGTCGTCATTAATATTATTATTATTATCACTATTATTATTAACATTATTATTATTATCACTATCGCTACTATCATTATTTATTTTATTTTTACATTTCCTTACATATTTCTTGATTAATTTATCCGGGTAATTATTAAGTTTCAAAGCTTCTTTTATGTGTAATACGCAACTGAAATAATTTGATGGTAAAGTTTAAACTCCACAATAAGTGATACGTGTCGAAATTTCTGTGTGCCATAACTAACATCAAAGTTTGATATACACTTTCTCATGAGTACAAACAACAATACAATTTAGAGACACAGTATCTTCACAGATAACTCCTAAAGTCTAGTGGATACACAAATATGTCCTTGAATGTTTCAGTGAGTAGCTAGAATGCTCAGTCCAGTATACCATTCAATATAGGGACATCTTTTCCGATTTGTTGGAGGATTTTATCATCAGCTGACATTGGAAAAACTACAGGGAGTACTGGACAGCCAGCTGTTTCATCCGTCCTAGTTTGGGACTCTTTACAGTACGCGCCCACCGCCAAAGTTCGAACCCAAGACCTTCTTGTTACAAGGGGAACTAGATCGTAGACCACTAAGCCATTGGGACCCAATCCAATGGCCAACCCATGAATTCTAACTTCTGCCAATTCATTTTTTTCGCTACATTATATTTGTCTAATTAGAAAAGTATCAAGCTGAAAGATATTCAATCTGTCGATAGTCGCTTTTTCAAGGGAATGCTCTGGAAGGATGAGATGAACTCCTGTATTTCTAAATTCAGCTAAATAAGAGTATATAGTGAACAAAAAGGATTCACGCTGAATATCGAGTTAAATAACTTTACTGAAACTTCAGTCATATGTGGAGATAGTTATTCGCCAACAATATACTGAGAAGTTTGGAGACACTGGCTATTTGATTCCTACTCACTGTACCTGGCCTTCCCGGGTTCTCTTTCTCTGCCTGAGGTTTTGAGCACATTTTGTTTCTCATATTATTGTACTCGCAGGACTTTCTTCATGGTTTTATATGATTTTCTTTGTATCCGGAATTGGTGATGCTACATTTCTGTTGCAGTTGTCGGCTGTTGGTTCGACGAACATAAATTCTCTGACTAACCTCCCTCTCTCTCCGTAACCAATCAGATTACATTTTAATACTTTGAACCACACTGTGTGTTTGCATAGAAGTGTATGCATAGGAGTGGGCAAGTTTTCTATAGAATTTTCAACATGGTGATGTCTTTCCCTGTAGGCCTATCTAAATTCCTATGCTATGAGCTAATTTTATAGCTGGTTTTTGTTAGGAATGAAAAGTATTCAATCCATATAATAATAATGAATTCTGATTTGCCTGACTTACCAAATTTATTACATGTTATGTTATTTTCATTTGATTTGCGAGCAGTTGTCAATGTATTGAAGACATCACCATTATTTCCAGTTGTTGAAGTTTTCTATCAATGAAAAGGAAGGGAAAAATATGAATGGATGACTGTTTTATATTAATTTTTTGAAATTTTCCATTTTTAACATTAAAATGAATAAATTTTATTCCATGAAAGTGGGAATAAGATCTGCAATCAAGTTAAAAGTGTTGGGTTAAATTGTTAATTATTGACTTTTTGTTATTTATATTATTCCTTTACGTTCCCACTGGAACATTGCGCTTCAAGCTACAGGCTTGAAGTTTCGGTAGCTGTAGTGTTTATTTTTACGGGATGGGTTTGATAGCCTCATTCCCAACCTTCCCTCTTTACCAGTCTTATTACTGGCTTAGCGAGTTAAAGGAATGCGGATCGAACCCCGAACCACCGCCGATGCACTCCTTTACCTCGCTAAGCCAGTAACAAGACAGGTAAAGAGAGAAGGTTGGGCATGAGGCTAGCAACCCCATCCCGTAAAATAAACAACTCCATAGCTACTGAGACTTTAATGCTTGAAGCCCTATATTCCATTATGAACGCAAGGAATGAAAAGGGGGAAAAATTACACAATTTTGTAAGGCACTGAAGAAGAAAACATTCTTTGTGGCCTTAATTAACTACATTCCGTAGACATTTATCCCAAAGGAGAGATTTATGGCCAAGTCCTGGCAAAACATATTTCCAAATATTACATTTCAATGTTTTCTTTTAAAATATCAGTTAATTTTACCGTTACGAGAAGGACAGTGAAGAATTTTTTACAAAATATTGACACTAATGTCATTTCTCCCAGTATTAACAAATGAGTGAAATGATTATCCTTTATTTGAATCACTCTAATCCACCTATAAAAATCTGTATATCATAGCCAATGACTTGAAACCACTCGGTAGTTTTTCAGTAGTATGCGTCTTAAGATGCATCGAACTGTGATTTACGTTGTTGTTTTTTTCATGTACATGAAGAAATAAGCCAGTACAAAGCTAAATACTAAAATTTTAAATTAGGTGATTATGTAAAATACAAAAGAAATAGTACGTGAGATAGTTTACATCAAAAATTAAGCATATTTTATTTAGCTATCAAGATGTACCTGGATCATAGTTACTGACAAATGGTAGCAAATTTAAAGCATTCACTCATCGCTTACATTGCATTAATATACCATTAATACCATCCACAGAAAACAGTTCGTATTTATTACTAATATTATGAACCACTTATCAACACCAATAACATAAATACATCAGCAGTCAGTGCAGAATTTTATTCTTCATAATGCGACAGCCATTGTTCACTCTCTAAATGAAATGTAACGAAAACACCTTCAGACTTTTCTAGCTAACTTGCGTGTACTTGACTAGTTCCACATCTTGGCTCAAAGTTCCTTTTTGCACAAACTGACTATTTACTTCTTCCACATATTTCCATCTAATGAATACAATTATCCTATTCAAGTGTTGGTTTGTAGGGATTTGATTGACTGGTTACAGGATTTCATCATGAGCTGACATTGGTTAGAGAACCATTGGAAAACCAGCTGGGAGTACTGGATAGCTGTTTCGTTCTAGTTTAGAACTCTTCAGTAGTACGCACCCACCCGGATTCGAACCCAGGACCTTCTGGTTTCAAGGCGAGCTCGTAGACCATTCAGCCACTGGGACCCGATCCAATGGCCCATGAATTCTAACTTCTGCCAATTCACGACATAGCGCGACCCCTAGCCAATGTCTTCGGCGACTATTTGTCCTCACACGCGACCTGCTGCACCCTACTGGTCACGACTTCTCACTAGAACCCCAGGTAACTACCTACCTGAATAGGGCAAGTCGCTAGTGAGCATCTCATTGATATTCAAGTGTTGGTTTGTAGGGATTTGATTGACTGGTTACAGGATTTCATCATGAGCTGACATTGGCTAGAGAACCATTGGAAAACCTGGGAGTACTGGACAGCTGTTTCGTCCTAATTTAATCATTCGGTTGATCATGGAAACTAATCATTAGTTTCAACATTAAATTCATGGTTCATCATTAAAAAAACCCAACTATAAGCATCTAATTGCTTCCATCTGTTAGTTGTTTATCTTTTTAATCTTATTTTAAAATAAAGATATCTGTATATTCAAACAAAATGTGAAAAATGTTCAAGTTGTAAAAGTTTCAGATGAATTCTAACAATCCTTGTCAGAAAAAAAGCCTTTTTTCCGAAAAAGTATTTTGTACCGAATTAAAATTCCTATTATTATTATTATTACCATTATTATTCATCTGATTTATCGCTTGTTAGCTTTAAAACAAAATCAGACAAATATCACGCACGCATAATTCAAAGTACAAACACGTTCATTGTGGTATTCATGTTACAATAGTTTCTTTGTTTTAATACATCAAGGTCATGAAATTAGATTAAAACAACTATTTGTTTCTCTTTCTTTCTCTCTCTCTCTCTCACTTCATCCCTCGGAAAATAAAAAAATTGACAAACATTCTGATGAATATAACAGGAAATCATACTTTTTTCGCTTTCCAACAAAAGTTAGACTAAATTTATGAGTGAATCTTGTACTCCAAAGCAAAAACAAAAAATGTACGAAAAAAAATTATCCATTCATTTTTATAAATTAAAACAAGTAACATCATGTTCAATGTGAAACAGGTTCTAGAGTTTGATGATAAACATGCAACAAAGCATAACATTTAAACAGAAACAGAAACATCTAAAATCCGTGTTAACTCACTTCAGAAACACTCAACGTGATTATTTTGATAAAAGTGTTAAATAAAAGTAACGCGTAGAAAATTTTTTTCGCATTTAACACATTTCTGTGGAACATAAGCTTGTCTTAAGGCTGTATTGATCAATCACCTGCATTACTGATGACTCTGAATAATCATGAGTTAATAAATATTGTGTTTCAATGAAAATTTCCGGAGCATTTAGGTTAACACTGTTAGAGTTCTAAATGTTATTCACCAGTTGACTGAATTATAAAGCCTGTTTACCTCTCACATTTCCTTTACCTAGATTAGATTATATTGTGATTAGATGTTTTCATAAAGTTTATCGAAAATAAGTACAAGTCATCATCACTTGAAGAAAGAATTGGAATCAAGTAGGAGGGTGACAGTTCTATTCTGCATCAAACTGTTAAACAAGAAGTTCCTGTATATTATTAAGTACCGGCTTGCAAGGACTGGATTAGCTAAGAGCCAATATTAGACAGAGGACCACTGGGAAACCAGGGGCAGCTGTTTCATTCTAGTTTGAGACTCTTCAGAAATGCACACCCACCAGGGTTTGAATCTAGGACCTACCAATTACAAGATGAGCTTGTAGACCATTCAGCCACCGAGAACGGATGCAATAGTCCCTGAACTCCAACCTCTTTCAATTCGCAACATATAGCGCAACCACCAGCTAGTGCCGTAGAGGAGTAACTGCTCGATTACCTGACTTGTTGGACCCCGCTTTGCAACGACTCCTCACTAGAACTCCAGTTAACTTCACGTATAGAGCCAGTAACTAGTGAGCATTAGATTAATTATCAAATGATGGCTTGTGGGGATTTGACTGGTCGCGCTATATTTCGTGAATTGTCAGAAGTCGGAATTGATAGGCCATTGGGTCGTTCTCAGTGGCTGAGTGATCTAAGAACTTATCTTGTGAGTGAGACGTTCTGGATTCGAACCCTAGTAGGGTGAAACAGCTGTCTAGTACTTCATGGTCTTTCAACTCTTCTCTAACTGATTCTGTGCATAGGATTATATGCAACATTGTCTCTAACAAGTACTGACTAGCAGTTTGAAGTAACTGAACTGAAGCTTGTGACCTATGCTGAACTTGATGTTAAATTATAAAAACATACTTCCATATTGTGTAAATGCGTTTGTAGTTGATAATTTTTAATCTATATAAAGCTTACTATCTTTGAATTTTCATCGCCACTTAAAACATTTAAGTAGTTTACTTAGAAGAAGAGAAACAATACATGGTTGCATAACTCATCTGACTGTCTTATAAAATATACGCACATAATTGAAAGAATAAGCCGTCAATCCAATAAGTCACATATTATTAAATAACAGGAAGTTATATAAGTAACTGAGAGAGATTTCTGTTTGCTGTGTATTGTATTACTTTGCGTTGGTCAGAAAATTTATTCAATATATACATGCTTCCATCTTAAAACAATCTTCATTACTGAACACATTTAAATTAAGAAAAACCAGCATTATTTTAAGGTGGAAAAAAGAAGAAATTTGCTGTTCTGTTCCAAGTTTATTCTCTGTTATAATTTATCAGGTCTACATGTCTTGTGATGATCACAATTTAACTCATTCCTACTTTTCAATGAATATATCATGGAACCAAGAGGATCTAAAATAGTCCTAGGCTGTAAGAAACTGGTGACGAAGATCGTAACTCAAAAGTGGATCATAGAAAATTTGTAGTAGCGGATTTCAGAAGTTTTTGGGTTTGGCTATAAGATGATCCACTTGCTAACAACAAGACTTTAATTTAACTTCTTTAAAAGCATGACTTTTTTCGATATTTATAAATACTATATAAACTGCATGTGGTCCAGGGTTCGATTCCCGGTCGACACACTCCTTTACCTCACTAAGCCAGTAATAAAACTGGTGAAGAGGGAAGGTAGGACATGAGGCTAGCAACCCCATCCCATAAAAATAAACACAACATCTACCGAAACTTCAAGCCTGTACCTTAAAGCCGTATGTTCCACTGGGAACGTAAAGGAACAGAAAAAGTAATACAAACTGCACTTGATTGAAAATTAAACAAAATAGCACAGTGACCGTGAACTGGATAAAAGATTTAATAAGACCAAAGTTAGTTTATTACAAAGTTACGATTTATTATTATTATTATTACTACTATGATTATTAATTTTTATAGGGTAATGAGGAAAAAGTTAGATTTAACTAAACTTTAACCCCCTGCCACCCCACAGTTTGGATTTTCAATAATAAATCATTTTCAATAGGCGAGAAATTGATTGCGTTTCT